CCCCCCCCCCCCCCCCCCGCCCCTTCTTGAGCATATTCCTGGTGGAAGTCGCGCCGACCGCTGCCCGCATGCTCGCGTTCACGCCCCCGGGACTGCATCGTGAGTTGCTGCCTCTCGCGGCCGCAGGACGGCCGGGGGGAGGGGGGGGTGGAAAGGGAGGACGGACGGACGGATGGCGCGCCAACGCACCAGTCCACGTCACGCGCCTCTGATCATCATGTGTGCCCTGTTGTTTCTGATGAATCAGAATGTCCGAGAGCGGGCAAGAAGCCGGCCCATAACTGCTGGGGGAAAATAATGGCTTTTTGCTGCACCCACCGCCCATTCCCCCTCCCCTCTCTTGCAAGCATGCGCGTGTGTGCGTATATGCATGTGCGTGTGTGTGAAGGTGTGTATTTACGAGCAAGGCGCAGCGAGACGCGCGCAAGCACCACACAGGCGCCCCCTAGTAGATGCTCTCCTCGAACCAGCCATCATGGACGACGAGCTTGTTGAAGTGCTCGCAGGGGGCTGAGTGCGAGGCGGCCGATCCGTCCGGCCGCTCGGCCACCGCGATCACCGTGTCCGAGGTGATGTCGGTGGCGGTCAAGGCAGCTGGTCGGGGAGCCGTCGCCGGGCTCATGGACAAGGACCGGCCGCGCGGGCCGTCCCCAACCGAGGGGGAATGCAGAGACTGCTGCTGTTGCTGTTGCTGCTGTTGCTGCTGTTGCTGCTGTTGCTGCTGTTGCTGCTGTTGCTGCTGTTGCTGCTGCTGCTGCTGTTGCTGCTGGAGTTGCTGCTGGTAATGGTAGTGCTGGTGGAGGGACGGGCGCTGGTCGCCCTCACCGGGGAGCCCCACGGCCCCGGGGCTGGTGGCGTCCCTTAAAAGTGGCGACCCGCTGCCATGAAGGGCAGAGGGGGACCCCACCAGCCAGGGGGGCGTCCCCTCACCAAAGTCCCCGATGGCTGGCGACGGGGAAAGGCTGCCGGGAACGGCGGCCATGACGACATGCTGGCGCAGGACCGATGGGGACCCATTGCGCACGCCGCTCAAGACCGCCGAAGCGGCATGCTGTGCTTGTGCGCCCAAATCCCGGGCATTCGGCATCCCGGCTTCCCGGTAGCAACTTAGCATGTGCCCCAGGCGGGTGCTCTCAATGTGCAGCCAAAAGGAAATGGTCGACAGGTCGACATTCTGCAAGAGGGGCTCGTACGAGCGGAGGATCTGAAAGGGGGCGCCCGGCCCCCGGGGGCCGGTGGCTGCCGATGGTGATGTCAGCATCG